TCATCTGGCACCTGGCCTGAGCACCACGAGCACTCGTAAAGCTGTGCCAAGGGCCCTGCAATAACCCCATCTAGCTCCCTCAACACGCTGGGGTGGAGAGCATCTAGACCCGCTGACTTGATCTATGTCTATATCTGTAGCTTTTTTTTTTTTGCTGTTGCAGCACCTATTTGTGTAGTGTGGAAATGTGACCAGGGACAAATAACAAAAATCCCTTCATAGTCTGAGAGTGGGAAGACTTAGCTTGGACTAACTATACTAGTAGATCCTGTTGCAACACTGCACAAATCATGTGTAAATAGGGAAGAGTGGGGTTATTTTAGGGGGAGGTAGAAGGGAGGATGTTTAGTCTGATACTGGGCAATAGCTTCTGCAGGCTCCTTTGTGGGCTCAATTGCCTCCTCGCATAGCTCTTGCTCTACTCTTGACTCCATTCTCTCTTGTCCTCTCTTCCTATTTGCTATCTCACAGTTGGTCAAGAAGTTGCTGGCATAGATGTTCCTGCATCAAACAGGAGTTTAGATTAGATGGCCTCTTGAGTTCCCTTCCAGCCTATTTTCCTATGTTTCTACTTTATGTCAGCCACAGTTTTTTAAGTAGTACTCCAGACTCTCCATCATCTCTGGATCAGGCCTGGTACTTCTTGTAATATGTTGCTAATGTCTTGAGTGCCTCTTCTGGCTTTTTATACTTCTAGGAGGGATCTCGACAGAAACCGTTTCTTCACTAAACAAGTGGCCTGTAAAGACTTCTGGGGGTTATGACAGAATAAGAGAAAAGTGCATGCAAGTACATTAGACACTGCATGTCTTAACTTCTGTCCCCGCTGTGTCTTCCCCTCAGTGCTCTCCTTTACTTTTGTGGAGAGTCAATTTCTGTCTTTCTGTCCTTGCACCTCTAGTGTCATAGGGCCTCTGGGGTAGGCAACCATTTTACTTCCCCCTTCTGGGCAGGTTCTCCTTCAGACATGTTTTCAATTCCTTCCCCCGTTTTGTTGGTGTAGCTGTGAGCCCTCTGAGAGGGAGAAGCAGAAGTCAGAAGCCAAAGTCTAATGTTCTGTCTCTGTATGAAGGTAACTTCCCTGTTCAGAAAGCTACTATGAAGGGGTGTCCTTTTATTTGTCCACTTGTACGAGGATTTCCAGGAAATTATTAAGAAGGTCTGGATAAACCTAATGCCGCCATCTCCAAGGCAATGTGCTGCATTTATCTGAGTTCCAAGGAATGGTGAATTTCTCGTGAGAGTATGTATAATGAACATATAGGCAGCCTCTCAACTGGACTATCGTATGGTTCAGGCAAGTGTCCACCTAGGAGTCTGAGCCATTTTCCAGAAGTCACAAAGGTCATCTCAGCTAGTTCCGCCTATGACTCGCT